GCTATTAATTTCGCACAGAAAAAGTAATTATTTGACCTAATGTGCATGGGTCAGTGTACGGATTGAGAGCTGAGTGGCAAATCTGTTGACTGTCGGTTGCGATTGCAGCTCGACGTTGAAAGCTTTCCTGGTGTACTAGGACTCCCCTTTTTGGCTGTAACAAGAGAGTTATCAGACATATGTATGTATTTCTACCGAAGCCGCTGTAAACGTGCCATCCGTGTGTCGCAGCATAGTAGATTTGGTTTTTCGTTTTTTTTTTTTTGAGTTAGCCACGTAGCTCGATGGATCTGCATACTATCATGCTTCGGGCCTCGGCGAAAACGATCAGCCTCGGTCCGTAATGGCCGAATTTTCCGACGGTGTGACCAAAAATGGAATGAGATGTACAGCGTTGGAGAGCATACCCCGCCCTCAAAACGCAGTCTATTTCCCCTTGACTACAGAGGTTTAAAAATAAATTTCGAAAAAACTGTTGAAATGGTTGTCAATAGGCTTTCCAACTCTTTCAAAAGAATCATCAGAGAACAAGAGCGAGAATATGTAGTCGCAGTTTTGTCCTATGTCGATTTAGAGTTTATTTATTTTCGGCACAGATTCACTCTGCTTCACTTGTTATTTTTATATCTACTCCAACGCACTTGTGCACAACTCCTTTCACATACAAACCTTCAATCTATATCAAAAACCATTAACCATTCTTTTAATTATTTTTCATTTCAGGAAATCGCATTGGTTTTAATCGCCTGCACAGCGTCTGCTGTGTTTGCAGCACCACAAGCACAGGGTGAGCCAATTGCCATTATTAGTCAGGAATCGAATATTGAACCGGATGGTTCATACAATTACAAGTGAGTACATAAACTACAAAGCAATGTGATAACCAAAACGTTGCATAGTTTGAGGCGCATCGATAAATAAATGCGAATTTGCGCATTAGCAACTAAAGACTTAAGTAACGAACCTAGAAAAGAAACAGGAAAGTATAAAAGCGGAAAATTCGAAGGTGTCATGCAAGTCGTAATGCAATGTCATACATTTTTATAACGGGTAAAAATACTTTTAAGCGATTTACACAAACAACAAAATATATGCAATTGACTGCGTACCTATAGATATGTATGTACATATATGCATATTGTAATTGATTGAGAGAATACATATCGCTAGCTAAGAGTAAAAAAAAAAGCTTTTATTTAACTTTCAGCAAAAGCTGGAGCAAATTTTCCGATTTCAAAAATTTTCAAAGTTTTGCTTTTAAGTTTAAAAATTTTCAGCTGCTTGATATATTTTACCAAGTTCAACAACCGCGCCAAGTTTGGGAGAAATTGGTGGAGCGGTCGTGGCTACGCCCATTTTCCAAAAATTTATAATATTCATATTTTTCGCCTAAAAGTCACTGTAAACATCTAGTTTGAGTGAATATGCTTCAGTATTTTTTAAAATATCGCAGTTTTCATATTTCTGACTATTTCAAGACAAATAAATCATTTATTATAAAATTATATTTAAAAATTCAAGATTTTATTTTTGAACACATAGGAAGCTTTAATTTGTATATTATATGTTCTTGATTAATGCTTTGATTTAGTACTGTTAATATGTCATAAATTTTAAATATACTTCAAGTGATGCCATGCCATTCAATCATTATAATGGCATGAATAAGTAATAACTTCGAACCGACTTTGTCTGTAAGTTCAGACGAGTTTCAAGTTTAGTATTGAAACCCATTCGTGTGCATAAAAATAGCATTTATTATCTAAATTTATAAAAATCTTTAATAAAGTGAAAAGAAGAAATATTTTTAGTAACACACCAAACAAATATCGGTTACGTCATGCTAAACAAAACAAATGAATTCCTATGTGTTCTAAATATTTCGTTAAGTACATTCATACATACATACAAGCAACTAAAGTTAACCGATAAAATACAAAATTTATACTCATTTTACAAGTTATTGCGCTATGCTTAAACAATCAGCTAGATTCCAGTATATTGCTCTTATAATAATACAACTAAATGAAGAACTTAAAAATTCACTTAGTGGCAAATTTGAATATACCGATGTATAAATTAGCACATAAATTGTACTTGTTTCCTTTAATTTAAAACCTTTTAGTTGATGTCTCACTTTTTACTATAATATCCGCTACTTAAACAAGTAGCAACTGGTTTCTAGTTAAATCAAACGAGACAGCAAATCTTCTCGATCAAGCTTAATACCAATTTTGGACTTAAAAAAAAAATCGAAAAACTAATACAACGGACAATATATAAAGCGTTTCGACAGGAGCTGGTCGAGAACCTATCTGCACTCATCTTGTATATACATTGCTCTGTTGGATTTCAAAGATTTATTAGCGGAATGGCTCTCAGAATAGAGCGTAATACGCCGATATGCAGGAGCGCAGGCACAGTGTGCGATTACTGCCGCCCGGAAAACGCTTCAGCGGTCAAGTAAACGAATTCTGAGGTTTAGTGATAGGGATAGGGAATTTAGGGAATAGGCCCCTGTTGTTTAGCTTAAAATTATCAGCGTGGATTGCCATTCAACGTGAAAATAGGGCTGTAGCCCTCTCTAGTTCGTTCTTTTCTGCCTTTTGGATTTTTTGCAAATCCAATAGTTTTGAATAGGAAAAATATATTCTACCAAGTTTTGGCTAATTTTCTTTGTTTAAAATATTCACATTCTTTTTTTATAATGGTAAAAACTTTAGTATAAACTTTATGTACGCAGGTATGAAAAAACTCGTAACTTCTACAGTTTTGGTGTTTCCATTCTCAAATTTTTACAGCTTACTCCATAAAATTTGACAACTATTCAGGTTGAAAATAAAATAAAAATCAAACATGATGAAGTTAAGAAAAAAAATTAAAAAATTTGATTTCTTAACGCAAAATTTTTATTTTTTATTTTAATCTATCTCACACACTCTCATGGAAAGCCGAGGTAATTACGCACATTTTGATACCTTAACGGATTTTCTCCCACAAATAGTTTATTAACTGCAAAAAATTAAAAAAGATACTTCTCCGTAAGTTCCAAATTTCGGGAATTTCTTTTCGAGATTTTCGAATATCATGACGAAATAAAAAATAGGTGTCTTCTTTTCTCGATAAAAAATGTGAAAACCTATTTCACCTCAATAAAAAATATTGAGGTGTAAATATTGTATGGAATGACCTATACATATATAAAAAGTCGAAAAATTTTGTTCATCAAAATTTTAAACTTTTTAATCAGATTTTACAATTTTTTTGGGTATGCAGTTTTTTAGGCCATTAATTTTTAGTAATATATATAGCCCAAGGTTGAAGTGGCTATTTTTTTCTTCGCGCATTTTCTTCCATGCAAAGCTGAACAATTTTTTTTTTGTGTGGAGGAAATCAGCAACATCTTCCACAAAAAAATACCCAAATACCAACGGTAAGGTCGAGCTACTTAAAATTTGCTAATATTGAAAGGGCTACAAAAGTGCATACTCTCTGTACTATATACTAAGAAATCTAATTAAAACACTAAAAAATATGATAAAACTTTGTACAAAGTTCCAAATTTTTACTTACATGGTTTTTGTACGATAACAAGCTACATTTTCATAAAAAGATAATAAAACTTAGATAAACGAAAAGGAAATAGCCAAAGAATGCTAAAAAGTCTCTTCGCTGTTTATATTTTCGCCACTGTATGTGCTATAAAAGTATCAAATTTTGTCTCGCTGATCATGGATCCTGCTTTTCTAATAGATATTTTTCTAGAAATAAAAATCTCTAAAATAAAACTCCATGCAACCAAAAAACACACTGCACATGCACTGCTTTCTTAACTTTATGACTTAATCGCAAATTTTTCTGCGATTAAATTTAGGCAGTAAAATTGTATTGCTATTCTTACGTGATAATTATTGTCGCCAATCAATGTCGCCAATCAGGCGATAATACCGCAAACGTCTATATTTTAATTTATAAATTTCATTTATTATTGCACCGTACTTAAGTGGACGAAATTTAATATCATTTAATTAAATCAATGCGAAATTCCAAAAAAAAAATACCAGTTCCATTCGTCTTGTAGCACCGTGAATATTTTTAAAGCAAGCAAATCTCCTATGTAACGGTTCAGCGCATACCCAAATGATTACGGCATAGTTATGCAATGCGTGGCTTTATATTCGTATGAATACTAAATAAAATATGCACCTTCATTAATTACTTTTAACAAAATACAAACAAAATATTTAGTTACATGCATCATCGATTTTTTATTTCTCTTCTTATTTCTACCAAACCACAGCTATGAAACCGCCAACGGCATTAAGGGCGAGGAGACTGGCACACTAAAGAAGGCCACCTCACCGGATACCAGTGATGTGATTATCGCGCGTGGCTCTGTTAGCTACACATCACCCGAAGGTAACCTAATTACGCTCAACTATGCTGCAGATGATGAGAATGGCTTCCAGCCTCAAGGCGAGCATCTGCCTACGCCACCACCAATTCCACCAGCAATCCAAAAGGCACTCGACTACTTGCTCAGCTTGCCGCCAGCGAAGCGTCGTTAAGCATTTAGCTCGTAAGAGAGGGGTGGACAGATAGCTGTTAAGGAAGGTGATGCCTTCTTTTATGCACAGAAGTAATGTGACAATGCAACAATTGTATAAATTCTTTTCTCCTAAAATCTCTATCGATATATTTTTTTTTTTTGTTGAGAGAATCCCTAAAAAATATTGCTGTACTGTACAACAAAGCTTAAGTAACTATTTAGCCAACCTAAAACATATGGACGAATGTGGACACGCTGCTCATAAACTATAAATGAAACTATCGCTAAAACTCACACACACACACACACACACAGGCACACAATCCAAACAAGGAAAGGAAATTTTTGCTAGCATTAGTGAGTTGAAGTGCAAATGTATGTAAATAAATGAAGAAAGAAATGAAAACTACTAAGTACACTGACTGAATGAACCGTTAAATGTTATAAACAAAAATGTATAAGAAAAAATGCAAAAAAAAAAAAATATTATAATATATAGTATAAAAAATCAACTGGCATTTGCTCACTACTCCTAGCAAATGTAAATGTCTCTTTCAATTTACAAATTTTGCTTCAAAGCGAACTCATTGCACACCGCATCATCTTCAACTTCAACTCTTCAACTTCAACTTCAACTCTACCTACGATGATACTCAGCATTTCACTGCACTAAGTACTAAAGTAAAAAGTAAGAAAGCACCGCATATCACCAACGTCCTCTACACTCTACGACGCTCATCCTTTGGAGTCCTCAGCACTTTTGCACTGGAAACCAGCATTGCACTCCATCAGTTTTTGGAACTTCCCTTTACAATTAACACTATAAGCTTTCTTGGTATTTCTTTTTGTTTTTACTTTTTTGTAGTCGCCGGAACTTTATCGCTTCGGACCCTTGTGATATCGT